AAGACATTTCCTGCTAATCTGTCCACTCTATAACACCCAACGAGAGAACCTATTCCAATCCTTATCCCTAATTCTCGATACCGACTTTTCTAATATCCCTCCTTCTCAGCAACTCGACACACTCATTTATGGTACTGGGCTGCGTCGGGGCATCGACAGCGAGGCCGCCACCGCACTACAGCGCTTCCTCATCCAAACTCATCGCCTCTAACCTAATACATCCAAAGTCCAATCCGTACCTAGTCCAGTCATGACGGCGTGTTTGACGCGCAATATAACGCACGTACTGCCGGGGTTGCGGGGTTGCGGCTCGGCGTAGGGCGGTAGGAGTCTTATTTAGTTTCATTCATTGTGTTACCATTCTTTGCAAGCGGCGCCAAAGAGTTAAGTGCGTAGCACTTTTGCGCCAATTGCTTATGTAATTTATGAATTTTATGTTGTTGCAGTGTGAATAAATGCTCTCTCTCTCTCTCTCTCTCTCTGGTGTTTTTCCAGCCGCGAACGTAGGGGAGAGCGGGGAGAGTTGTATCATGTCCAAGTTGTATCGGGGCGAATTGTGCCAAACTTATCCAATAGATAGCGCTCGTGACACGACCAGCCGACGAGGTTTTCCGGGCGCCATCTTTCCCTGTTCTGTCGTGTGGCTGGGTGGACGCGTCTCGAGGTGAGAGCCGATTTTATGTTTTTATAATGTCATTCTAAAAAAATAAGTTGCAAGAAAATGTGTGTTTTGGGCATTTAGATGTACACGAATTTGAAAGATCTCCGTAGCGGTGGTGAGGGTAGGTTCTAAGGCTGCGTGAGTGAAAATGGATTTCTCCAGCTGTCCGCTGTTTTTGAGCACGAGGATGTTTTTTCCAAGATGGCGGCGAGGTACATGTTGTATCAGAGCCGGGTGGGGTATGTTGTAACATGTATGTATGTATGTATGTATGCATGTATGTATGGGTATGTTGCTTTTGATCGCGGAAGCTAAGCCCTGGCTCGCGTTTGTAGGTAGCTAGTCAATGCTCGTTCCATTTCGGCACAATGTGTTGGCTTCTTTGCTCTTAACCTTCGCCCCAGTGCAGTGGGGGGGGGGGGCATATGTTACCACCCTGTCGCGTTTTTCGCGTGTGAATAAAAAACCGCGGCGCGTAGCGCCGCGCCGCTTGGGGTAGCTTTTGGTACATCAATTTTGGACAATTTGTGAAATTTTTGACCCCAGGTCATGTCAGGTCAGGTCACCAGGTCAAGTTAACTGAACAAGCCTAAAAAAGTTTGCAATCCTGTCCAGCCTGCAGTGTTTGTCAGAAAGATTTCAAACTTGGTGGATTGCATGATGTTATGGGCACCTACAATTTGTATATCTTGGATTTTTTATATCCGTGACCTAAGGTCAGGTCAGTGGCGTGACCTTACCATTACAAGTCAATGGAGAAAAATAAAAATGCCTCTAGATCCGTGTGTACGCATAGGAACAGTCCAAATATTTCAGAATCACAATGATTTAGTCCGCTCGAGATGACCAAGGTGTCATTTTTGCTGATAGCCTTTAGAAAGGTCATCCGAGGTCATTTGAGGCTACAAACAGTATTTTGCCAATAACTCGCGATTGGAAAGAGATAGGACGCTGGGGATGGTCTCATTGTGTTTGTCTCGTTGAGACGCATCGACTGATATGCAACATGACCTTTTCCGGTCAGGTCATGACCTTGACCTGAGGTCAAATTTTCAAGTTGACCTTTCAAGGTCAAATTATAGTTCATTCGACGCGTCTCGGCGAGGGGAACACGATTCTGGCAATATAAATGTCGTGGCTTTTTGTAATCGAAAGTTATTGTCGAAAAACACTTTTCGTAAAAACAGCTATTTTTGGAGTTTTTGCCCTCTGGAGGCTAAACCGTTGACCTGAGGTAAATATTGATAATGACCTTTTCAAAAGAAGAGTTCAAAAGCTATCGATTGCTTTTTCATGCGTTTTTCTAGCTACCATAGTTCCTGAGATAGCGGCATGTGTTCTGAGAAATATAATGACATTTGGCAAATTTTGACCTTTGATGACCTACAGTGACCTCAATATTGCTCTAAGATGAAAATGACCTATATACTTTCCAACATACGCATTGAGAGCTGTCGACTGCTTTTTACCGCGTCTTTCTAGCCCTCTTAGTTTTTGAGTTAGAGGTGGGTGGTAACATATGCCCCCCCCCCCCCCTACTAGGGCGAAGTTGGCTGAAACCGCCACTGGGGCGCGGGTTAACGGGCCACTTCTGCGTCTAGTCTGTTGATGTTTCGTTCGTTTCGATGTTTCGTTCGGATTGCATTGACCTAAGTTTGGTCTAATAAAAGTGAAGCCTTTGATACATTGTATATTACCCTTATTTAATACATTGTATTAACCCCATTTAATGTTGTTGTTATGTTCAAAACCAGTAGCAAGTACACTCCCTGAAACGTGAAATACCTAGTGATACAAATTACCCCACCATGTGATACAACTCACCCAAGCCATGGGGCAAGTTGTATCAAAAACATTGTTCTATTCGGCAGACCGTAGAAGAAAAACTGGTAGAGGTAGCGGAAAAGTTACTTTGCACAAAAAAGCAGAAGAATCAAGGAAGGAGATAGTATGGAAATAGTGAGCTTATCACGGATATCACCCCCCCCCCCACCAGGTCGCAGGTGAACCCGCGCACCGACGGGGGGCGGATATCCGCCCCCCCCCTGAGGTTTTTCGCGAATAGCGGGAAAACCGCGGCCAGGTCACTTTGAATGACCCAACCTCAAGTCACTTTTTTCAACTTTGTCACCGTGCCAGAGCTACAGTAGATGTCGGAGGCCTTTGAAAGTCGCAGGATGTTTTTAGGTCATTAGTAGCTACAATTTGTTTATCTCGGAATTTTGATATCGGTGACCTAAGGTCAGGTCAATTTCTCGACCTCCCCATTATAAGTCGATGGGGGAAAAATCAACTCCCTGTTTTTACCACTAAAACGGGTCGGAATGGCCCCATAAACCATACATGACCTCATATACGATCAATCTTCACTACCTTGAGGTCTGTTTTGCTGTTGGGCAGCTGTAAGGTCATGTGACGTCATCAAAGGTCACCAGCGGGTTTTTTTACAATAACTCCGTACAGGAACAAGATACAGCCGCGTAGATGGTCTCATTGTGTTCAGCTCGTCAAGGCGCATCGAATGATATACATGATGACCTCGAGGTCACGTGACCTGAGGTCAACCTTTGACCTTGACCTTTCGAGGTCAACATATGTATCATTCGATGCGGATTGACGTGAGGATCACGATGCTGCCCTTAGTTCGTTCCTATATTGACTAGTTCGAAAGTTATTCGAGAAAAACTCTCCATACCTAGCGCCGCCATCGCCCGTATTGGTGTTTTTCCAGCCGGTAACGTATAAGGGGGGGGGGGTCCGTTGGACCCCCCCCCCCCCTGCCATTTCGCCACGAATCGAGCTAGAGCTTCGCGGTAAAAACGAGCGTGTTGCCCGTGACGAGAGGATGACGATGATACCCAATTTTATGGTCCTTGGTCATTGGTTGACCTTTCAGGTCAGGTCAATGACCCAAAAGTCGGGAGAATCGGGGACCGATTCGCGTTGGCGCACTAAGGCCCTAGTGACACTTGATTTCAAGCGTCACTATGCGATTTCGGTTCGCGCTGAGCCACTAGCCGATTGGTGTAAAATACCGCTTAGTGTCACTACATTCAAGTGTCACTTGGCCGCCTAGTCTTACTAGCTTCCTAGTACGCCATCTCGAATCGGCCCCCGGGGCCGATTCGAGATGGCGTAGTCCGAGAGGCCGCGGGGTCCGATCAACTCCTCCCCCTTACGTTAGCGGCTGTTGAAACGCCAACAGACGGGCGACGGTTAAAAATTGCAGCTGGTTTTGTACGACTGTACGGAGCCGCGGTGAGATGGTGAGGCGAGCAGCTACGTGAAAATTGGTATATAATCAATGTGTGCTGTGCCTTTGACCTGGGCTAATCTTTGAACCCTGGGATGCAACAGTCACGATGGTTCCATCAATGGAGCCACTAACTCTAAAAAGATAGGTTTTCTCAGAATCCCTCATTACCCCCACCGAAAGGGCTCCATTACCCCCAAAGGGGGCATGCCCCACCATTTGCCGACCCCTGTGTTAGAACGTCGTAAAGTGTGGCTCCTGTGATTTTTTTTTCGGGGTGCTGATCACGAACATCATGTTAGTTTTGATCACAGATGATGTCTTCATACATTTAGGCCAGGTCGGGTCAGGTCAGGTCAGGTCATCCAATAGGGGTCCTGCCGGGTATTCGTAGTAGGTGTCAACCACCTCTGACAGCTTCGTAACGTGTTACGAAGGCACCAAAACAACTTCGTAAATGTTCATATGGTTACTAAATTCGAATTCAGCTAAAAAAAAAAACTGGCCTAAAATCATGCAAATCTCGAAAAAGTGAACCGACGTCATCAAAGGTCAATGACCTGACCTGACCTTCATGTGACCTTGACGCCAACGCTAATGCATGGGGGTAACATCATATCACATGTTTAAAACCCATTAATGCCGCTTGGGTCATATCCCAGCCAGCAATTCGGTTGGGGAAAGTGCGGGGACAGTGTTGGGGAAAGCTTGGGGAGAACGTACAATGCCCCTATCGGATCAGGGGACGGTCCGTGTTCCCCATCCCTTCCCCGACTGTATCGGTAATATGTTCAAAAGACATGGGGAAATCATACCGATCCCCGTACGGGGAAAGAGCAGCATTCCCAATCAAACCCCACCGTTGGGGTTCGGTCGGGTAAAAGATCAGATTCCCCGTACGGGGAAGGGTGCGTTATCCCCGACCCATTTTCTAGAACAGTTTGATTGGGGAAAAGTAGGGGAACTGTTGAAATTCCCCGCTCGGGATTTTACACTTAATCCCCAGACGAATCCCAACCGCCAGTAGGAGCAGTGTCGCCTCAACACAGCGAGGGGAGGGGAGGGAGGGGAAGCAACGACCGGCCGCCGTCGGTTCCGCCCGCACATCTGGTTGAGGGGCGTCTCCTGTCGCCATCTGTCATCGTGAATGGGGCCGTGCCGACGTGTCAGACGGGACGAACGGGGGAAGTCGGTCCAGAGTCACTGCGCCGCGCGGTTGTGGGAGCAAGCCGTGGGCTAGGTACCGCTCCAGGTCAGACCATGGTTGGCACTGAAGAGTGAGGCGACACTACACTGTGAACGAAGACGGTGAACGGCGAGATGTGGTGACCGCTTGTCTGACCAGTGCCAAAAGTCGTGATCTACCGCTGGGGTCAGTGCGTGAGAAGCTGGACTCGGCACCAACGGAGGACGCAGCTCGACGAGGAAGCTATGCTGTGTTGGTAATGAACTAAATCACTTAATTGTAACGAATCCATGACGGATATAAAATGACGATACTAACTCAAGTTTATTGTAAAAGACAAAGCTTTCGATACACACAATATCCTGATCACTGTCTATTATGCAGAATATGACGTAAAAATGACTGAGGTCATCAACCTCCGTCTGAGATTATCCTTAAATTGCCCGGACAATATAATGTCATCAGCCTAATGCTTCATCTGCTTCTGTTCTAGAGGGACGTCTGCCGGTTACGACCGGAAGGTTTCCGACGGGACTTGGCAGAACCCACAACAGCAGTATGAACCCGGCGTGGAGTTAATGCGTAATTGCTCGCATGAGCAACCGAAGAGCGACTTTCAGGCGAAGCTGGTAAGCAGTTTATGGGGGTGGGGGTTAGCTTAGAGCTGTTGAACAATCTGTCCTTCACCCAAGTCTTAAGGCTGAAACACACTCTTTCTACAGCCAGAAAATCTCATGCGAGAGCCCATTAACCCTATTAGTGGCAGGGGGGGGGGGTTGTTTTTATCCACCCCTCAGGTTTTTCGGGAATATCTCCGAAACCGCTGAAGCTACGATGCTGAAATTTTCTGACTTTTCCTAAAACTAAATTGGGCACATTCCCTGAAAATTTCAAGTTCATAACTTTACCAGGGGCGGCTCCAGAGCACTGGGAATTGGGGGTCCTATTCGTGAAGCGAGTCATTTGGGCGAAGATCACGATGCTGCACCAGTTTTACGAACAGCGAATGAAAGGTATCATGTGATAACATATACAAAGTTATTGTGCATCCTCTTTTGACACGTTTTTGCTATAATAGGCGGATCCAGGCGTCCAAAAAGGGGGGGGGGTTATTTTTTACCTCCCAACATAAGTGCCCTGACACCGCCTATGCATGACCAATACAATTTTAGTCGTTCTCTCATAAGAAAATTGTAACATAACAAGACCATTGCCACCCTTTTTAGAAACAGTACCAACAAAAACCTTATTTACTATACTTTTCGTGTAGGGTGAAGTCGTATAAGAGTACGCACTTAGTGGATTTCTTGCTCTCATTTGTTAAATATTTGAAGGAAAGAAATCGCAAATAGGGAATATTAAAGTTCATTGAATTAGCCATCAACCCATGGGGCAACGATCCTTCAGCGTAAATGGAAGTGGTCTAAAACTGACATTTTCTGAACCGTTGCACTTGCGTACTCTTACCATATGGGGTGTGTAAGAGTACGCACGCCAGGCGGGTGGAGTACGCAAGCATATGAACACACACCTATGCAGCTTGCACTGTCCAAATGCTTAACTTCAAACTCAGAAGGCATTTAAGTTAATTCTAGTATCCAAAACGAAAAACATAAAATAAATCTTTCAAGTCTATAAATCAGGAAATAATCATGTCGTGTGTTTCTTAAAAAAATGCACAATCAAAAAGGAGAATAACTCGTATTTGGAAGTATTTCGGGTACGCATCTGCATCACAGTGCTCCATTGATGATATACCTACAAAACAATCGTCATTGAGCGATAGATTAATAATTCTATATTTCTGTATATTCGATTTAATGTATCATTCTGCGTACTCTTACCCTCCTGAACAGTGCGTCCTCTTACCGTACATGCAATTCGCGCACAAAACAACCCCGAAACGTTGTGCAAAGCTTCGCAAACAGAATATTGCACTGTACAGTATTTCCCCAGATAACCTCACAAGTTTCCCACAACAATCACGGAAATGTACCTTGTCTCAACTGCCAAGTATCAAAATTATTGTACCATATCATAATAATATCATAACGCTCGAAAATAATATTCATCGCCTTAAACTCAACAGCGTCGCCGCTCAACGCCCACGTTCCGTTGGTGACATGCACGCACTGGCGGCTTCATGTCACTTCATGAACTCGACAAACCCGCGTTGCTAAGCAACCGAAACAGCTGATGCGTACTCTTATCGCCCGCGTACTCTTACCCGCCCTTACCCTACCCCCAATCTCAATGATCTGTATCCGCCTATGATTTTTGAAAATGCATATTTTTAGGATCCATGTGAATTCCTGGTTCAGTCTCTATCGATCGGCAAAAGTTGCGTTAAGATTGGTTCAGAAACCTGGCCGTGATAAACAGTCTAAAATGTATCTGCAATTTGCCCGTTTTTACCCCCCTCTACCCCCCTATTGACATTTTTTAATTTTATTTTTTTTAGAAATGTAGATCTCGTTGAGCCAAATCGAATGCCGTTTGAATTTTGAAAATCGGCCGGTTAGATCTCGAGATATCAAGGGGGGGTCGTAAACAGCCCCCCCCCCCTGCCACTAATATGGGGTAGCCAGGAGCCTGCCACTAATAGGGTTAATTAAATACATGAAATCACGATCGCATCAACCGCTTACAGGGATGTGCGAACGATTGACGCGATTGTAATAAATGACATGGATTTTGAATAGGCTCTCGCACTCCATTTTCTGTCTTCGGAAAAAGCCTGCTTCAGCAGCTCTACTACACAGCTCTGCTTGTGAAAGGGACTTCATTGTTATCTTGATAAACTAGCCACCGATTTTAATTGTCAAACGGCGTTCATTTATCTGTCAAGTGCTTTCGCGAAGAACTTCGTAAGGCGTAATATAGACGTAAAACATTTATTACCTAATGACTTTTCCTGGAATGAGAAATGTTTAGAAATACAAATTTAATTATTGAATTTTTATTTCCTGTTTTAATTAACTATTCAAAGTATATCACATTCAATTTCTAAGCACTTTTCGTGGGGAAAAAAGTTATAAATAAGTGTAATTTCATAAAATGGCATACATGTTTCAGCGTAAGCTGAAGTTTCTATAATATAAGGACATTCCATGTAGTAGCTAGCTGTAAAACCTGATTGACATACCTACAAGTGCACATATTTTTGTTTTTGTCCACAGCCGCAGAATTCCTGGAGATGCGCTGGGACATGGATCATAGCAAGGTGGCTCTCAGCGGCAGCTGACCGCTAAGATGTGTCTGAAACAGCCAGAAAGAGACTCGAGTTGTGGTTCCAGGGCACTACCGAACAGAAGGCGGGACCAGCTGTAGGGAGACTACAGCAAAGCCGTCGTTCTCAATCTGCTGAACAGACTCCTGCTGCAGAGGAAAATTGGGGTTCGACGTGTTAGAACTGGGGTTAGACCGGTTACCAGTGCTCGTGTTCGTCACCTGTTGTTTGTCACTGCTGTGCTGCTGCTGTATGTCATGTTTGCCACCTGCTAAGCGTTCACAATGTTTTTTGAGTGAGTAATAACTTTTTTAGTGTTTGTCTTGATTTGTAACGAGTATATCAAGTATGTTAATCTTTCATCAAATGAAGGACTCCATATAAAAATAGTATAGGCTGTGGTGGTACAGACATATATACTAGTTTCTCGCGTTTATCGTAACACAAGATGAACAAATTTCAATTTATCGCAACATGTTTATCGCAACATTTTTGCCTCGATTTATTGCATCATCTAGGATGTTGCAATAAACTTGTGCATCTTTTAATGAAAGGTTTTGCCTATCTAGGAAGAAAAAATTCGGATATGTTCCTTCATGGATTGAATCGCTGCGTCGCTCGCCGGTGAGGCACGGAGGTTGAGATGCTGGAGGGACGGACATGCAATAATTCTTGAGGTGTACCTATCAGGTGCACGATGGACAGATTCGGTGCTTATCTTACGTTTATTCGCATATTGTGGCATATGTTCCCATCAATTAATAGTCGAAGACGAGCACTCGCCGGCCAAGGGGGGGGGGGGGCGGGTGCCGCCCCCATACTTTTTTTTGGCAATAGCTCGGAACACGCCCGCGATGGAGAGCTGAAACTTGGCATACCTGACCTTTGACTCAAGCCGGATCTTGTGAGATCAGCCGTATTTTCAGCTCAGGTCAGGTCAGTGACGTGACCTATAACATAAGTGAACCTATGCACGGTCCTCAGATGTCGCAACTTCGCAACGCCCTCAGTGCTAGAGGAACTTTCACAGGGAGATGAAACTTACGAAGATGTAAGTTTTATCTGTGAGACCTTCAGAGGTCTCACAACTTGTATATATCTCTGATCTTTTCCTAAAGGTCACACGTGGTTAGGTCGGTTACGTGACCTCACCATTATTAAGTCAATGGGTAAATATGAAAACTGCTATTTTGGCGCCGGGAATGATCTAAAACTATCCCAAGCACATGGAATCAGGCGCATACCTAGAATTTTGCCAAGGGATGGGGGCGGAGGAATCCCGGGTGGGCTCCTTTCTACAGAGGGTCTCCTCTCTAAAGGGGCCTCCTCTCTACAGGGGGCCTCCTTTCTACAGAGGGTCTCCTCTTTACAGAGGGCCTCCTACCTTCAGAGGCCTCCTCTCTACTGAGGAGTCAGAGGGGCCCTAGCGGTCAGACACAGACACTAACGGTTATTCACAGGAGGCCCCAGGAAGTAAGAAGGACCCTAGCTGTCACTTGTCAGGCTGGTCAGAGGGCCCTGATTGTCCTGACGTGTTTTTTTTTTGGGGGGGGGGATTCCCGTGAATTTCGTTCGCCTCCGACGTGATTTTAACCAACGTGGACCTTCGGCCCACGGGGCCCTGATTCCATCTGGGGCCTCCTAAAAAACCCAAGGGGGGGGGGCGGACGCCCCCCGTTGGGTACGTCCCTGCATGGAATCGTGATTTCATGCACTCCTTGCAAGGTCCGATGCTTCACTATTGCATTGTTGACCTTGCGTGACGTCATTTACGACGTCACTAGGGTCATAAGAGTTTTTCGTCAATAACTCCCGATCAAATTTAAGTAGAGAGTCGGGAAAGACACCATTGGACTCGGGAAGACCTGCAGAATCGAATGCTATGCAATATGATATCCTTTGATCAACTTCGTGACTTGAGGCCTGAGGGGCTCCATGACCTGACCTTGACTCGAGGTCTACACCTTAACCCGGCCGGGCCCGGGGGGTAATCCCAACCACCGCAGCCCGGGGGGCGTTTTTCGCCCCCCCCCCCTGTCTAACTCCGTAAATAAGGGAGCTACGGTAACAGAAGCGATACCAAACGAAAGGTCCTTACGAGACGATTCTAAAGCACCTAAAATTTTGACCTCAGGTCAATTTTCAAGGTCAGAGGTCAAGGTCAAAGGCAAAAACCGGCACATGTGTAGTGATCTCAAAGTAAGCCTTCTAGAGGACGGCAGGCCGCAGGCAGCATCAAACCGGAAAAATTGGGTGTCAAACGAAAGAAGAGAACCTGAGGATTTCGAAAATGTGCTCAAAATCAAAGGTCAAGGTCAATGTCACGCTGAAAAAAAAAACGACGCGAGCCCATGTGTAACGAGAGAGGCGATACGCCATTCGAAGTGGAGTAAAGCGTGCTTCAATCCAAGATAAATAAAATCAATCAAATCACATAAATTCAATCCAAGCACATACAAATAAAATGTTTGTAAGGTGCCGAAGTTCAATGGACCATTTCTGCGGTCAATAATGAAGGCAATATGACGATAAAGTCCAACTGAGATAATCGTTGGCACGGATGTGGCCAAAATCGGGCACGAGCAGGACCAGAATTTGGCGCAACTGTATATCACGAACGGGATCCAATGCTGGAACGAACGGCATCAGCGTCAGGCTCAGCACCATAAGCTGGTACAAATGGTGAGGCAATTCAGGCTCGAACTACAGAACAGTCAAGCATAACTAGTAACTACCGTAATCTAACACGAACAGTTATGAGACCCGGCACCAGAACCTGGTACAAACGGCACCATTTTGGACTGGAGAGCGTACCGTCACCAGGCACGAACGGTTCCAGAATATGGCGCGATGGTATGTACATCAGGAAAGAACGTTACCATAACCTGGCACGAACGACATAGGATCAACCATGGAGACCAGAATCAGACACGAACGGTAAAACATAATGGACAATAACGGGTATGCAACGGCGCAGAGCAGTTGAGAGGCCACCAGCGGCGTCCGGCAGGAGCCGAGCCGGTCGGCCAGCGCGCCGTCGAGCCGCGGGCTGGCGCCGCCCGTCAGCGCCAGCCCCGCCTGCAGCTCGCCCACCGACGGGCTCCGTGTGGACATGTGCAGCGTCACGCCAACGGCAGCATGCCGCTACGGTGCAAAAAGGTTCATTTTCTGACGACTGACAGTGTATTTCAATAAGGACACAAAAATGCAGCTGCCGGACTGGCCACCCTTTGCCGACCACACATGGACCGACGGCATCGGGCGCTGCCACTGGACCCTAGCACAGACTCGATCGGATCAACACAATCTTACACCAGGCACACAACACACAACGGATCATGGTACTCAAGTCCGTGCCATCGGTGTCACTCAACAAAAACGGTGCTTCTGTCTCAATGTAAAACTCAATGTATGTACTTACTGACGCCGCGGGCGGCTCCGGGCCGCGAGTCCCATCCGGACCCAACCCAGCACAGCCCAGCCCCCGGCCCGATTCAGCCCTATCACCGGGCACCGCTGCCAGTGCCGAACAGGGAAGGACGGACACCAGAGAACAACTGATGACAACGGACTTACGAGAACTTACAGCATCGAAACCATTATGAGGAAACACGTTATCGAGATACACAACAACCCATACACACTTCACACGCCATCTTGACGCTCACGACTCCGACGTACGCTAGGCCGCTGGCCACCCTTTGCCGACCACACATGGACCGACGGCATCGGGCGCTGCCACTGGACCCTAGCACAGACTCGATCGGATCAACACAATCACTAGACTTACACCAGGCACACGAGACACAACCGAACATGGTACATGCGTCCGTGCCATCGGTATCACGCAGCAAAAACGGTGCCTCTGACTTCTGAGCTTGATAACCAAACTCAACAAAAACGGTGCTTCAGAGCTTGACAACCAAACACCGGACACGGCCAGCAGGACCTACTGCAGCGCCTCGAGCGATCCTGACATAGGCCATGTGGCGGCTGTTCACTGGCTGCCACAGAGAGCACTGCTGACGTCGCGGGCGGCATCGGGGCGCGGGCAGGCACATGTATTGTCGCCGCGGGCGGCATCGGGGCGCGGGCAGACACATGTATTGTCGCCGCGGGCGGCATCGGGGCGCGGGCAGACACATGTATTTGACGCCGCGGGCGGCGCCGGTCCCCAAGTCCCGTCCGGACCCAACCCAGAACAGCCCGGCCCGGCCGCTCCAGCAGCTCACTCCTGAGGGCAGGGACCACCGAACTGATGTTAGTTACGCCGTGAAATCGGACGGAGTCATGGAGCTATGTGAAGGAAATACAATATTGAGCCTATTACGGTTTTCAAAAGCGTTTTTTCAGCGACGCGCTAGCTCCACCAGGGGCGAAACGGCGAGGGGGTCGTACCCCCCTCGGCCGGCGCGTATGTAGAAAACCAATAGGTCCGGCGAGGGTTAATACCGCTGGAATTTGGCTTATTGAAGTAAAAAAATGCGGTTGGAGCTCTGCTGGCTCCAGTTCTATGAACTCAAAAATAGGTCACCTTATCCACACTTACATAGTTATGACAATGAACATTGAAGAACTAACTGACGATTGACTCAGTTAGTATCAAGGAGGAATCATCCCTTGCACGCCTAAAATAAGCAACCGAATATAGCGCATCGCAACAAACATACGCGCCAAGTACAAAGAAGTGCATCAATACATTGTCAATACTTACTGCCTTCTGTTTAAGTTTGTACATCTTGCATCTTATGTCATTCAGATTATGGCCGTTGAACGGCTCCCTCTTGTACAGGTCTCTGAGGTCATCCATACTGGGTACCCGCCCACCGCGGGCTTTCAGTATCGCCCGCAGTCTCTGCACTTCGGGCACAGACCACTTTACATATCGCTCTGAAAAAATAAAGAAATGTTAACCCTGTTATACGCCTTGACTAGCCTGAGGCAAGTTTTTTACCAGCGCCGTGACGCTCTTCCAATCACAATACATCGATGGAAGGACAAGGGTGCATTCACAACCTTTCTAGTCAGGTAATGGGCCGCCCTACAGTTATACACGTTGTCAAAGGTGAAAATTATTCTATTGTGACACCGTTGACGAACTTCCTGATAGACAAAAAGGTAAAACACAACCAATTACTGGTTGCTTTAAATGATTTTCTCACAGCACAAAATATTTAACCTCAGGCCATCACCTTTGTTTCAAAGAGTTAACTTTCTAATTACATACTTATTCGGAAACACTGACGCCCGGTGTGATACCGACTTTACATCTGTTATACCCGCATGATATACTTTCGTCTGCTCCGGGTGATTTAGTGATAAATAGCAGACATGGTTGTTTAGTTCAGCACTGCTTAGCGGGCATCAACCGGGTAAACGGGCCTACCTAGAGCGTCCAAACAGTGTTGCGGTAGAGCATCTCATCTTCCGTCGGAGAGGCCAACAGCCTGGTGAGACTACTACAGAATATGTGTCCGCTTTGCGAGCACTAGCCAATATATGTTACTTCAGGACGATAAATTAGACATCGGCAGCCACATCAGCCGCACAGCACCAGCCGACGTCCGGCGCTCGGAAACGGAGGAACATCTGGCCACCCTTCCAGACGACGCCGTGTAGGTATGGAGCGACGGCTCGGCGGAGGGAGGTGTCTCAGCCAGAGGGAGTGAAGCGTTGATAATCCTCCCCTCGGGCGAGGAACACGAGCTCCGAGCCCCCGCA